GGCCCCCCCCCACCCCTGCCGGGATCCCCCCCAGCCCTGCCGGGATCGCCCCCAGCCCTGCTGGCCGAGGGCCCTGACCTGCAGGTAGCCGCTGTGGCAATACTCGGCCACCCTGAGCAGGTTCCCGTGCTGCTCCCGCAGCCGCTGCCGGCCCGCGGGGAGCTCGCTCTGCTGCAGCCGCTCCAGCTCCGACATCGCGCCGGGCTCGGCTCCCACTTCCTCCCCGCCGCCGTTTTGAGGCTGCCGGAGATGCTGAGGCGGGGCCCGCGGTGTCCCCAGGACAGCCCACCCTGTGGGGACAGCCCCGGCACGGGAAGAGGGGCTGCAGGGTCGGGGAGTGACCCCAGAAGGATCCCGATCCCAAGAGGATCCTGACCCTAAAACCATCCCGATCCCAAGAGGATCCTAACCCCAGAAGGATCCTGATCCCAAGAGGATCTGGACCCCAAAACCATCCCGACCCCCTCTCTGCCAGCTGTGCTCGCCACCCCCGGGCCAGCGGGGCACATCCCGGGATCCTCGGGCTGTCCTTGGCGTCCCGCCCGGCTGATGGAGGCTCAGGGAAGGGAACGTTCCCGGATCCCGGGATGCTCCCGGTGCCTCTCCCGGGGCTGGCAGCGCTCGGGACGAGCCCGGGGAGCCCCGCGGTGCCCGGGACCCCCTCGCTGGGGACAGCGCGTCCTCCGCTGCCTGGGAAGCCCCTCCGCCCTCTGCTGCTGCTGCTCCTCCACGCCCGGCTGTCCCCTGGGCCCCCCGCGCTGGGGCCGGGCCCTTCCTGAGCCCCGGGCCCAGGGAAATGATGGATTTCCTCCGCTCCCCCCCGGGACCGAGCGGCCCCCGCGGCCCAGCTCCCCTCCCGAACCGGGGGCAAACAGCCGGGACCCCCGGGGCAGGCCCGGGGCACTTGTGGGGCAGGTTCGGGGGCACTTATGGGGTCATTCCCAGGGGTCATTCCCAAGGGTCATTCCCAGGGGTCATTCCCTGGGGTTATTCCAGGGGTCATTCCTGGGGGTCATTCCCAGGGGTCATTCCCAGGGGTCATTCCCTGGGGTCATTCCCAGGGGTCATTCCTGGGGGTCATTCCCAGGGGTCATTCCCGGGGGTCATTCCCGGGGGTTATTCCAGGGGTCATTCCCTGGGGTCATTCCTGGGGTCATTCCCGGGGTCATTCCTGGGGTCATTCCTGTGACATTCCAGGGATCATTCCTATGGACATTCCCGTGGCCATTCCCAGGGATCATTCCCGGCGCTCCGGGCAGGATCCGGTCCCCGGCAGTGCCTGGGGTTGTCCCCAGGTGTCCCCAGGTGTCCCCAGGTGTCCCCAGGTGTCCCAGCGCTCCCTTCCTGCCCCTCCCAGCCCGATTAGCCGCCTCTCGGGGCTAATTCCCGACACCTGACCGGCTTAGGCTGCCGAGGGCTGAGCAGCTTAGGACAGGGACATCTGCTCCAGGAGAGCCCCGAGAGCCCCGCAGCTCCCGAGGAGCTCCCGAGGAGCCGCCTCTCCCCTCCATGGGGCTCTGAGCGGCCCCAGAGCCCCGGGTGAGTGCCTTGGCTGCTTCCAGCTGGGTTTTGGGATCGGGAATGGCTCTCCCAGCCCGTCTCTGGCTCCTCGCGGAGCTCCCGGGGATGTGTCGAGTGCCGTGGGGTTTTTTTTTGGGGGAACAGGGTTGGGTTTCCCCAACCTCCACGCTCCCAAAAACTTCCAGGGGCGTGCAGATAATGGAGTTGAGGGCGATGGAGGAGCCATGCCCTAAAAACCTGGAGGAAATGGAGACTGAAATGTGTTGAACTCCTTGGGAAAGCTGGGAAGATGCTCCAAGACGCCGCTCAGGGGCACTGGGGGGGGGTCACAACCCTACTGGAACACAGCAGGAATCCCAATAATCGCTGATTCCCGCAGTTCCAGGGCAAAATGGCTCAGGACATGACAGAGAAGGAGCTGCTGAAGATGGAGCTGGACCAGCTGAAGAAGGAGGTGAAGAACGAGAGGCAAATGGTGAGTTCTGCACTTTGGCACCTCAGGGGACCTTCCTTCCTTCCTGGAGCCAAGGAAAAAAACCCCGAGCCCCGAAACCGACCCCCAGAGCCGGGCAGGAGCACCCCCACATCCCTGAATCCCTCCCAGCCCCACATCCCTGAATCCCTCCCAGCCCCACATCCCTGAATCCCTCCCAGCCCCACATCCCTGAATCCCTCCCAGCCCCACACCTGCCCAGGTGTTCGTGGCACCCCAGGGATGCCCTGGGACACCCCGGGGATTATTTGTGACACTCCAGGGATTATTTGGGATACTCTGGGATGCTCTAGCACAGGTGGTTTTGGGGTGCCCCATGGATTATTTGGGATGCTCTGGGACACCCCAGGGATGATTTGGGACACTCTGGCACAGCCCAGGGCTGGTTTTGGGGTGCCCCAGGAATGATTTGGGATGCTCTGGGACACTCTGGGATGCTCTGGCACAGCCCAGGGATGATTTGGGACACCCCAAGGATGATTTGGGTCGCTCTGGCACAGCCCAGGGCTGGTTTTGGGGTGCCCCATGGATGATTTGGGACTCTGGCCCAGCCCAGGGCTGGTTTTGGGGTGCCCCATGGATGATTTGGGACTCTGGCCCAGCCCAGGGCTGGTTTTGGGGTGCCCCAGGGATGATTTGGGTCGCTCTGGCACAGCCCAGGGCTGGTTTTGGACTTTTGGGGTGTCCCCGCAGCCCCCGGGGCCGCTCTGGCAATATCTCCTCCCTGGCAGGTCTCCAAGACCGGCAAGGAGATCAAGGAATACATCGAGTCCATGGCAGGCGAGGACCCGCTGCTCAAGGGGGTCCCCGAGGACAAGAACCCCTTCAAGGAGAAGGGGGGCTGCACCATCAGCTGACCCCACCGCGGCCGTGCCATCCTGCTTCCCCTCCAGTCCCACCTCGGCCCACAACCCAACCCTAGCGCAGTTAAAGGAGAAAAAAAAAAAACCCCAAAAAACCCCCCAAAAAAACCCCCCAAAAAAACCCCACCACGAACAGAGCAAAAAGAGGAAAATAATAAAATTAAAAAAAGCCCTCGAGAGACGCCACCCCCGCTGGCGCCGGCGTCTGTGGGTTCGCAGCTGAGCTCCGCTTTCCCACGGGCAGAAAACGCCAAACTTCTGCATTTTCAGCAGCCTGAAAAACGCCAAACTTCTGCATTTTCAGCAGCCTGGGCGAGCGGGGGACGGGGAAAGGGCGAGCTCGGAGTGTGGGGTACAGCCAGCGCCCCAATTCAGCGGGGTTTTGTTGTTTGGAGCTGTTTTGTTCTTTGTTTTTATTGAAAATCCATTCCAGCTCCGTTAAATCTCGGGGAAATCTCTCCCCAAAGCGCCCCAAGGGCGTCGACCCCGAAGGAGAAGCAGCAGAAATTTGAAATTCGCTCTCCCAGGGCGGTTGAAATCCCAGGAAATCCCTCTGGATCCCAGCTGGGATTTTCCTTTTCCTTTTTTTCCTGCTTGGATCTCTGCTCGGGGCGCTCCAGACACCCCAAAAATGGGACAAGAAGACAGAAAAATGGATTTTCCTCAAGATCCCTGAAGCCAGAATCCCCTCCCTGAGCCCCCAAAACACCCCAAAACACCCCAAAACACCCCAAAATCACCGCAAAATCCAGGTGCTTTTGTTCTTTCTCGCAGATGCTCAATAAACCCAGCAGCACCGCCACGGCCTCTTGTTTTTCTTGCAGGAAATCCTCTCCGAAAACCACAACTGATTTTTGCTCTCGAAAGGTTTTTATTTGTTACAGAAATGGGTCCCAAATGTCGCCCATTGCTGCTCCACCTCTCAGCGTTCCTTTTTCACCTTTATCATGGGGCTGGACCCCGCTTTTTGGTGGTTTTTATGGTTTTGTTGGGGGTTTTGGGAGTGTAGAATCTAATTTTTTTTTTTTTTTTTATTGAATTGCTGGGGTTTTTCTGGGGGTGGGGTGATGGAGCTGAATATGAGATGCTCCGTAATTATGTTGTGAAAGGTTTTGACTCTTCTCCTGGCTACCGCTCCAAGACATTTTAAAGCTATTTAGGTAAAAGAAATAATCGTATATTCCTGTCGTGGCCTTGAGGCGATCGGCGGCCTGAGCTGCCCCTAATCCGGGGCAATAACCGGGCCGCGGCCGGAGGGGATTGACCCGTTAATCGACGTTAAACGGCTGGGATCGTGCGTCAGAGCCGCCTAAGCCGTCTCGGAGGGGATTCGGGACGCTGCCGGCGGAACAGCGGCTTAGGGCAGCACCGAGAGGCCGCTCCGTGCCCTGAGGGATCCAACCCGCCATGATAGCTCCGGGGTGCTGAGGGGGAGGCGGGGAAAAGGCAGCTCCCAGCCAATAGCAGTGCGGGATTGGCAGAGTGACTTCGCTCACAGCCAATCAGCGGAGAGGAACGGAGGGCGCGAACCCGCCCCGGGGAGAAACGGCTGGATGAAGTGGGAGGCTGTATAAAGCGAGGTAGCAGCCAGTAGAAACGCGATATTGCTAGAGTGACAGCAGGTGTGGCCAATCAGCGAATGAGAAAGGACAGCGCCAACCCTCCCCGGAGGGTACGGATTTCTGAAGGAGGAGGAGGTGCAAAGAACAGTCTCAGCCAATAAATAATAGGAGTTTGTGAGAGTGACAGACCGAACAGGGAATCGGAGATGGAAAACGGAGACCGCGATTCTCCCCAGAGGGCTCCGGACCGCGCCGGTGGAAGGCGGGGCGAAGCGCGCTGCCAGCCAATAGTAACGCAGGGATCGCAGAGTGACATCCTGCTCAGCCAATCAGCTGCGGAACACGGAGAGCGCCCTTCGGCTTCCATCCGCCGCCTTTCCCCCGCGCCTGCGCCGTGAAGCGATGGCGCCCACGCACAAAATGGAGCGCGGCGGGCGCCGGTGCGGGCCCGGCGCTCCCGGTGCGGCCCCCGCGGCTCCTCATCCTCCCCCGCTCCTTCCCCCTTCCCTCCTCGGCCCCGGGGCGGCGGCAGCGGCGGGCAAAAAGTAACGCGAGGTCCCACCGAGATTTGAACTCGGATCGCTGGATTCAAAGTCCAGAGTGCTAACCATTACACCATGGGACCGCTGGGTGTACCGGGAGGCGCCGCGCGCCCTCCCTATCCCTCCGCCCGCGCCAAATAGTCCCGGCCCGAGCGCTGCCGCCGGCTCCGGGAATTCCGGGAATTCCGGGAGATTCCCGGCCATAAAACTCTCCTGAAATCCCGCTCCCGGCGCCGTTCCACCCCCCCGGACAGCCCCGAGCTCCGCCGCCGGCGCTCTCTGCCCGGCGCTCTGATTCCCACCTTTAATTTGGGATTTTCTTCTTTTATTTCTGCCTTTATTCCCCTGGGATTTTCCTTTTCCTTCCCCCCTTCCCTTCTCTATTTCCCACTTCAGTTTTTCCCGCTCCATTTCCCATTCGTTCGTCTGCTTTTCCTCTGTTCCCCCTTCTTTCCTGGCCCTTTATTTCCCAATTCTCTGTTCATTTCTCCTTTCCCCACTCCATTCCCGCTTTTTTTCCCCAATTCAAATTTCCATTTTTCTGTTTTCCCTCTATTTCATTTTATTCCCTTCTTTTCCCATTTCTCCTTTAACTTTTCCCCACTTCTTGATTATTTCTCTTCCATTTCCCACCCATTCCCTAATTTTCCCCTTTTATTTATCCCTTTTCCCTTTATTACCTCCAATATTTCTCTTTTCCCCTCCATTTTTTTCCTCTTTATTTTCCCCTTTAATTTTCCTTTTTTCCCCCATTTATTCCCCTATTTCTCATCTATTTTCCCTCTATTCCCCTTTCCTTTTAAATTTAAAATTTCCCCTTTATTTTTTCTCCTCCCTTTTTCCCTCCCCGATCCCACAAATCCACACAAACGCTTGGAATTTCTTAATTTTTTTGTTTCTTTCTTTCTCTTTTATTTTTCACAACCGAACAGCGGAAATAAAGCGATTTGTGGCCAAAATAAAAAATAAATAAGGAAAACCCTCCTGCCTGGAAAAGAAACGGAGCCCGGATCCATCCCAAATCCCAGGAAAAGGGAAGGATGTGGATCACGAGAGGCGAGAGGGGAAAAAAAGGTGAAAACAACTCCAAAAACATCCCAGAAATCACCGTTTTTACCTAAAAAGGCTGAAATTTCCTGGGAAAAGCAGCACCTTTGGATGCTCCCAAAAATCAGCTCCACCCCCCCAAAAAAAAAACCCCAAAAAACGTTGGAAAAATAGGAAAAAATAAAGAAATAATCGACTTGGATTCCGCGGGGAGGCCGGAGGGGGAAGGAGGAAATATCCACGGAAAACAAAGGAATCGAAAGGGAAATCGAGGATTAAAAGTAAAAATAGAAACAAAACTAAAAATAGAAATAGGAATAAAAATAAAAATAATAAAAATAAGACTCAAACTAGAACTGGGATCAGTCCCAGCTGAGTCTGGGGCTGCTGAGGTCTGGAGCTTCCAAGGATTCCCGATCCGCTTTCCTCGAGGAAAAGCAATCCCAGAAATCCTCGATGATTTGTTTGTTTGTTTGTTTTTTAATCCTATTTTTTATTATTATTTTTTAAAGATTTTTTTTCTTTGGAAAAAAGTGAAATTTTTTTTTTTTTCCTATTTTTTTTTTTGTAAATTTTTTTTAAAAAACTTTTTAATTTTTTTTTCCTTAAAAAAACCTTTTTATTTATTTTATTTTTTAATTTTTTATTTTTTTTTTAATGGAATTTTCCTTTTCTCCCCAAAGTTGCTCCCGGGAGCGTCACCTGTGCCTGAGGTAGATCAAAATTCGGGATGAGAATTCCCGGGATCATCCCGGGCTCCTTCCCCGGCTCCGCGGGCGTTTCCTTGGGATCATCTCCCGCTTCCCTCCCTTTTCCCGGGATTTAACCCATCCCAGAGCTGGAACAGCGGGGTCCTGCCTGAGGATTCCTCCTGGAATTCCAGGGAATTCCGGATCCGACGAGCCGATGGAACTCGGGGGTTTTTGGGCCTGAATTCCCGCCCTGATTCCCGTCAATCCCGCGGATTTCCCGGGATTTAATTCACCCCGAGGTGCAGGTTAAGGCTGGGTTTCTCCTGGAATTCCGTGGAATTCTCCATCCCAGGGTGAAGCTGGATGCGCGGAGCCGATGGAATTCGGATCCAATCACCCTAAGGATGAATTCCCGCCCTGGTTCCGCTGAATCCCGCGGATTTCCCGGGATCAGCCGTGGGAGAGGCGTTCCCTGCCCTGGATCTGCTCTTCCCGCCCGGAAAATTCCCTCCCCCAAAATTCATCCCGCTCCAAAGGCAGCCCAGTGCCGGGATCCCAAAAATCCATCCCAGTGCTGGGATCCCAAAAATCCATCCCAGTGCCGGGATCCCAAAAATCCATCCCAGTGCCGGGATCCCAAAAATCCATCCCAGTGCCGGGATCCCAAAAATCCATCCCAATGCCGGGATCCCAAAAATCCATCCCAGTGCCGGGATCCCAAAAATCCATCCTGGAAATCATCCACACGTTCTGCTGGAGCATCCCAAAACCCTGATGGTCCAGGAGAACTTCCCGAACCCTCCGGGGTCCAGCAGAGCATTCCCAAATTCCAGCGGAACGTCCCAGCCCGGCTCATCCCACTTCCATGATTTTGGCGGAAGATCCCGCCCGGCTCCCAGAGCTCCCGGGAATTCCTCTCCCACGCGGAAACTCCGGGAATTCCGGATGAGGAGCTGGGATCGAGCGGGTGCTGGAGCCAGCCGGGCTTTTCCAGGGGGTTCTCGGGAATTCTCCCTCCCCTCCGCCCTCCTGGAATGTTCCAGAGCCTTCCCCACGGCTCCTCCTCTTCTTCCTCCTCGGCGCCATCCCAAAATTCCGCCTCCAGCGGGAAGATCTGAGGTAGTTCCAGGTGTGTGATCCCAGCTGGAAGC